TGGAGCCAGAGGCACAACCGCACCAGATCCCATCAGCCTAAGAACTGTAGGTTGGGTCACCGACGGATGGGTCTGGGGTTCCCCCTTTCCCCTTCGGGGAGAAGGGGGGGATTGCGCAGACAGCAGCGCGGCGACATTATGACGTCATGCTAGTCTGCTAATTTTTGTTTGGGGAGTTCCATCCACCTATTTGGCTTTCGGTCGCAATACTTTTACCAGAAAAGGGGTTTGTTTTGGGGCGCCTACCTTTCTGGGTGCCTGTTCCAGTCGAAAGCAGACATAGAATGCTCCCAACTACATGGGGGTCTCTATAGACCATTGCTCCTCGTGCCTCTCTAGAGGAGGCCAGGTTCTGGCTCGTGGTCCCCGGTAGGCAAGAACTCCATGCATTGACCGATGCCAGAAAGATATACATATCCATTCAGCCTGGATAGCTCTGGGGAGCCGACGGGACTCCCCCAGAAAATGCAATTGTTTAGCCTAACCAGAAACATATGAACCTAAGCAACCCACCTAATCTATTGAGGCCACTGCTCTGAAATGGACAATATTATGATGCTTTAGTTTTGACTAAAACCTTGCCATTTTGTTGGAGTAGTTGATTCCATTAAAATCCAGTGTATTAGGTGAGAGGACAGGTTGTGTTATCAGTACTTTGTGCTATGCTCAAACTTACAATTTTTACTTAGTAAAAGTATGTCAAGTTATTGATGCTTTAACTCTTCTATTTTTTAAATATTCTTTATCCCAAAGTCTCCTTTATCACTACTGATCACTACTAAATACTGAAAAAAATATTATATTATATTATACGTATTTACCATTTCCAAATCTTTCTATCAGGTTAACATTCTACTGACATTGGCTCCCTCTTCCAAACACTAAACTTGTTCTTTTTTAGCAACTACTCAATCTTCACAACACACAATAATGTTCCCTGTACACAGCAATGATTGTAGTTTCTAATTTATTAAACCACAATTTCCATATTTGTGCATTTATCCATCTCACTTTCATCTATAGTGCTCCAGCAATTAACATAAGCTCAGCAATCTAACAGAGCATTAGTGTAGTGTCACATCATCACAAACCATCAGTAGATTCAAAGCACTGTATAACAAAGAATATAAGGAAGACGGGACACCACGAGTGTGGCTTTCATCCTTTAACTGCACTTCGATAATTACGCTAAATTCTAACAATATGTTCATAATGCTATTTATTCTTGTTCATAAAGTATTTAAGGGAAAACAATGAACTGTCATACACACTTGTTATAAATTACCAAGTCATTCTAAGGCAATTTTTTTTTCTGATAAACATATGCATTCTATAAGTTTAAACAAAACTACCTTAACATTCTGCTAAAATGTGAGATTAATATCTTAAAAATCGATTACCGCTCCCAAAGTTTCAATCCCTCAACAATCAAAATATGTAATGTTATTTACCATAAGGTCAATTAGAATATTTATATACTGTACATATCAGACTATGCAAAATGCATGTGCTTTCACATACAGTCCTTTCTTTCTATGCATTCTTGTCTGCAAATGTAATGAAGTGGTGACTGCTACATTTGTATGATGGCTAAACCAGCATGTGGTAAATTTTGACAACTACCTTCTTCCTCTTATGTCTTAAAACATGAAGGTAGTTGAAGCAATTAAGAAAATTCCTACATTAGGCAACCCCTGCCATGTCAATGACACAGGAAATAACCAGCTTCTATTTGCAACTTGAGAGGTAATTGGAAGGAACACACTCAGCCTAAAAGATTCATACAAGTCTTAACAAATATTTCTGTCACAAGCAAGAAACACTTAAAATGTTCCCTGCATTACAAAATGCTGCATTTTAATTATTTATCACTCCAATACTCTGCCATATACAAATTTCTTGCTATGTAAATATATCTGATTGAGGTTGAGATAGCAACATTAAAATAAGCATAACTCAAATCTCAAATTTAATTATTGTTTGATATCTTATCAGAAAATTAGCAGTAGGATCCTACTCAGCATTTAAAAAGGCTGGCACAGAAGTTTGGATTGGTTTAACAGTTACAGTATAGTTTTATCTTAACCTAAAATAAACCAACATCATCCGATACATAATTAGTGTGGCATTCACTAAGGTAAAACTTCCAAAGTAGGATAAGCTGGCTATTCAGTATGTTTCATGAATCATTCTTCTATGAGATAAGCCTCCTGGCATACCATCAATGTGGAGAGCAAATCAGTGATGCTTGATAGAAATGTACAGTGTAATCTTAATAGCATTGACTATATGGGATCGGACCAGTTTTCAATGTTCAAAATTGACTTCATATCATGGCTTTAACAGATTTTCAATATTTATTGCTAAATATTTTTAGTTTTTTTGTACAAATAACAAGTCACCTTGTAAGATCGTGTTTGGTCCTGAGGTGGTCGGACAACAGGACAAGGACTGTACCTTACCTTAGTGCAGTCCCCATGGCGTAGTGGTAAGACACTTGCCTGGCGTTTTGTGAGCGCTTTGGCCTGAGTTTATATCCTTGCCGGGGAGGATGTACTTGGCACCAATCCTTAACTGTAGCCTCTGTTTACCCAGCAGTGAATGGGGTACCTGGTTGTTAAACAATTTGGCGGGTCGTATTCCAGGGAAAATTAGAATTAAGAACTTGCCCGAAACCCTATACTTGCCAGTGGCTGTGCAAGAATGTAAAGGATGTACTTGGCACCAATCCTTAACTGTAGCCTCTGTTTACCCAGCAGTGAATGGGTACCTGGTTGTTAAACAATTTGGCAGGTCATATTCCGGGGAAAATTAGAATTAAGGACCCTATGCTTGCCAGTGGCTGTACAAGAATGTAATAACTTTTGTATATATATCAATAAAAATAAAAAAATTAAATAATAATTACATGACCTCACATACAACAACTCTTACTTTTTGCCCACCTGAATTAAGAGAACTAAGCTCCAAGGACAAGTTAAGCGAACTTAATCTACGAACTCTAGAGGAGAGAAGGAATCACTATGAGCAAAATACTTAGGTAAATACCTAAGCCAGAATCTTGAAATTAAGAGAAAGTTGGATAATAAATCACCGATTGATTTAAAGAAATATTTAAACACTTCAATGTGTTATATGAATTACAGACTACAGTATAATGCACTGCAATCCTGTTGTACCCCACTAGATAACATGACTCCAACAACAGGTGACCTGACACAGGACAAGTGTCAGGTCACTTCTATGACCTGACACTTGGAATCAGGATACTTGGACACAGGAGTGTATTCCCAAGAACAAAGGGTTGTGACTTGCCTGTAAGAGTAGGTGATCTCACACTCACTATACCAAGATAGTCTTGTAAATTTAGGTGGCATTAGTTATAAAGATATCTTGTTCCAAAGGAAAATTATTTGTAGCCAATCAATGGTTGCATTTTATAAAGGTTGCACTATACATTGATGGCTGGTATGTATATGTGTGTGTGTGTGTGTGCGTGTATGTATATATTATATTAGCTTAGTTATTTATAATTTTTGATCAGAAGTATGATTTCATTAGTTCCCTAAGGGTGGGAATCATAAGGAAATTTTAAAGTGATTTTCTCCATATGACAAAACAAATTGTGAGCCATAGCTATTAGTCTTTACAAATATTTTATTACAATATTGTTTTGAAGTTTAAAAAGCCATAAAGCAAAATATTCATTACTAAAAAAATTTGTTTTCAAAACAAGCACTTTCAAAAGACTCTGATCTGCTAGAGGACCTGCTTGTGATGATAATTTTAGAGCCAGGTATAAAAAGAATTGTCACTTCAGTTCTCAATTCACAATTAAAACAAAGACTGTCTACTGCAAGTACTGATATAATGCATGTAGTTATTTATGTATTAAAGTAGTATAATATGTTTGGTAGCAGTTGGTTGGAATTTGGAAACTATGAATGTGATACTGGGCTAATCTGTGCCCATAATCTATTAATATGCACTTCTTAATACTACTAATCGTTCAGTTACATAAAAAACATACTACTACAAGTATGTCACTTACATTTCACCAAATTTCTAGCCAAATATATTAAAGAAAATAATGGAATTATGCATAACATTAATTAGGAATTAAATAATCAAACTACAAATACTTAATATAGCAAACAAATAAGTAAATACAATTACATTTTGTGCACCAACTCTCACAAAAAAAAAGTCTGCAACCATGCAAAAATAAAATAGGCATTACAAAAATAAATATGCTTGTGTTCAGAATTTGCAATGTTATGGTGTAAAGTAAAACTGCAAACAAAAAATATAATACCAATAAAAGAAATCCATCAAGGTGTATACAAAACTAAACAATACCTAAGTTAATTAATATAACTCACTGTTCAGCTTCGTAACTTAACCTCAGAAAGCCACAGTGGACTCCATTGATATGATTGTAATGGGTAAAGTACTGTACTTATAAATCTAATTCAATCTAAACTTCCTTCCTGATGTTTATATATCACTCAAGCTTTGGCCATAAATCAAAAGTGCTGCAAATCTAAATTAAAAATCCCAAAGAAGCCAATCACCATAATCACTGCCAAATACTACTTTATAATCAAATCAAGCAATGCGTGCAAAAATTATTAAAAAAGCAAATCAATGATAAGTACAAGCATGACAACTTTGGGTCATGATACAATTGGGATCTGCTCGTTAAAATTAATTTTCAGTCACAAATTTGTAAATGAAGGTTAACAACTTAATGTCACCCCCAAGATTCCAAGATATTACCTACATGAAAACATTTCCAATCCTGTTTTTTCATTCCCCAAAGAAGTCAATGAAAGTAAATCAGTGTACCAGACTTTAAACTGAAGAGCTGCAAACAGCTTCTGAACCTTAAGCAACTCAGGGGTTGCTGCAATCTTGGTCCAAATTCATCTCAGCCCAGACAAAAATTAAAGTGCATCACAAAATCAACCATGGTATCATAAAATTGTCCACTGCCCTACCTCAGACTCAGTCTTTGGAGAAGGTTTATCCAATATTTCAATCTCCTTTTCTTGCATACTGAAGTTTGCCAACTTATTGGGTGAATCACCTGTCTTGATATTCATTTTATTAATTGTATTTTTTGTTGACATTTTCTCACACTCAATTCCACTGCTGCTGGTGGAACACTGCTCCTTGTTATCACCCTGTTGAACACCATTATTTATGAGAAATTACTCCACAACAAGCTTTACATTAAATAATACCTCTCATGTTGAGCTTGCTATGAATAAATTATTCCTGAATACCCAGTACAGTACTGAAATTACATATATTAAAATTAGTAAAGAATTTTGTAAGCAAACCATATAATTTATTAATTTGATGACAACATATATGATACACAGCTGCCTAATTTGGTTAAAATCAGAACGAGCTCAAGCAACAATTTGTATAAGAAATTAATATTATTTTTACAAAAATTGAAATACTGCATCATAAACACAAAACAACTTTTGATATGATATTAATTAACAAAACAGTTGGATTTGTTCTCGACTCACAATCAGCAATCACGGGAAGATAATTTGTTGGGCATTTTTCTTCTAACCTAATGACTCTGTTCACCTTGTAGTAAAAAGGTACCTGGGAGTTAGTTACCCATTGTGGAATTGCATCCTGTGAAGGGTCATTAATTTGACCTGGGGGGGGGATCGATATAAGCCTAACATATATACTGTACATACACAAGTCCAAGAGAAAATTAATTATATTGTAAGATTATGTTACAAATAACATTTACATTTGTGTGATATGGCCAGAAATGATAAGTAGACATATTAAACCAAATGATCAAAATTAGTTAACAAGCATGTGGTACTGCCAAAAACACAGAATAATTAACAAGAATGTCTTAGGAATATATGAATTAGAATGTGTGGTTCTGAATGAGAGGCAATGATTCAATGATTGAATCAGCCTTCAATCACTGGTTGAAGGCTGATTGACTGATTTCCCCCAATCAGCCTTCAACTAATCAGTTGACTGAAGGCTGATTGACTGACTTTCCCAATCAGCTTTGAACCAATCAGTTGGTTGAAGGCTGATTGGGAGTCATAACTGGGAGTCAGCCTTCAACCGACTTCCAATCTCAGTTCTGTTACTGATGAAGCAGCTTGTGGAGCTGCTTGTAGTGTTCCAGTCAATCAGATAGTGGACAAGCCCCTCTGCTTCAAGCCAAGAGCCGGTCATCCACTGCTTCTGTCTCGTTGGATGCCTTGTTGCGTGACTATTTCCTTGGTTCCCTCTTCCAAGACTCACATTTCTAAGGTCGTCCACAGTGTAATTAAGTCTAGCCAGCCAGCCAGCGGTCAATCCTTGAGTTCATGATGTTCTCAAATATGCGACTTTGACCACAGTCTTCTCCAACATGTCCTGGGGTTCATATTCAGGCTCGGGGGTTCTGACACCCCGGTACTAGTACTTGGTTAATGTTCCTGGTCCGTCAGTCGCGTGTTACTTTGGGCTGCATCTCCTTGCCTGGTTTCTCTTCTTTGTCCTAATGCCTGCCACTCTCCTCCTTCCTGCTAAGTCCCTTCTTTGTTCTCTGTGGTTAGGTGGTTAGTTAGCTTCAGAAAGCCACTAGTGGCTCCCTCCAGAAACGCAGCATTGAATGTAATAAAATACTGTACCTCTTTCTGGAGGAGCCCCCGTGGCTTTTTTTTTTTTTTTCAGGAATATTTCTGTGCAGGCCCTAAGCCTATGGCTGGCCCACTAAGTGTTACTTGTTTCTGTTTTACTTAGGTAGAGTATGCCCCATGTGTTTAACAACTTCTACTCTGTTGAATTTAGGTTGAAATCTTATTGGGTTTATAACTGTGCACTGTGTTAGATAATGTTCCAGTGGTCTGTTGGGCATATCTCCAGTGTTGACATTTCCTTTCATCTTTTGGAACCTGTAAGCCTATTTCTCATGCACATGGATAACCAAGCCTGATGTGATATAAGTGTACTTCTGTTGTTCTACTGTTCCCTTTCATCAAAATAAGTGGTTCATAGTTAGTTGAATTCTTGTACCAACCCGCAGATCCTGATGTTGCAAATGCTGTGTTGTTGTCACTGTACATCTTCTGCATTGCTCTATTTCTAATTACTTTCTTAATCTGTGATAGACTATGAGGTAAAGGTTTACATTTCTTCTCTTAGTTACAAGTTTTGCAGCTTCATCTGCAATGTCATTTCCTATTATTCTCACATGACCTAGCACCCTGTTGATAAGTACCCAACGGCCTTGACATTTGAGTGCTTGCATTGATGCTATGACATTTGTGATCAGATAGATGTTGTCACATATGTGTTCTTGTTACAAGGTTTCAATGGCAGTTCTTGAATCTGTATGTGTGATAACATGTTGTCAGTGTTCAAACAAGAGCATGTTCCAAAGCCTTTTGAATAGCTAACATCCCTATTTGTAAAGTTGAACACCCATTTGAGTCTCCAACTAGCAGCTCCCTGATTCCTCCCCCCTCCCTCCAAGTTTGTTGGTTCTTCACTGAGTTGTTCATCAGCTCCAAAACTAAAATGGAGAATCAGATGAGGAATGGGGTCGGGTCGTTTGGTGGTGGTAATCCGTACTAATGAGTTTCGAGCTCCGAGTTTCAAGTGAATACCGTTCTCTGTGTGAATCTTTTGTATAGTTGTTTGCTAGTCTCTAGGCTTTATTTTCAGTGAACCCTTCAGTTGTCTGTATAGCTTCTTTAACTTTCTGGAGATTTTTTTTGTAGTGGGGCGGCAGTGTCACCCCACTCCCTGTTACGCTGAGGGATGGCTAGGTTCTGGCTCTGGTCTCTGGTAGACTAAACAGAACTTCTGTGACTGATTTGATCTTTTATTATGGAGCAATCTCAGCAGGACAGCTTCATGAAGCTACATGGGCTCCTCAAGAGAGATGTTTCAATACATTCAGTGCTGATTTTTTTTTTTTTTGGTGTACCTGTATTTCATCTAGCTTGTTCATGGTTTTCTTCTACCAAGCAAACTACTGTGCATATAACTATGTACTATACAACAAGGCACTTCTAGACAAAACAGTCTATTACCATAAACATATATGACCAAACATAAAAATCTGTTAATAATGGATAGCTCCCATCTCTGTTTATAGTTTGACAAATATTTGGTCATCACAGATAACCAAAGTTGTTTTAACTGACCCTTAATGATCATCGAAAGTAGTTTTTCTGGGCCAGTCTATAAGCAGTAAATATATATAACAAAAAATAGAGGAAGTTCTACAATAACCAGTTTCTAAAATGAGTCTCTGAGCATTAATAACAGCCAAGCATCCAAGTACATGTATTGGAAGGAAAAGAAAGTTAATGTTATGGTACTGAGGAGGGAGATAGGAAAATACCCTATGATAGATTTAGTCACAGTAACAAAATGCTAGGAAAATGTCGATAAATATTTTACGCTTTGTGTAAGAACATTGCGTTAACATTCCATTTTCTGAAATTACAAATATTGTAGTAATTGTTCACTCTGTTCAGTATTCAACAATAATGAGTATGACACCTTTCTCACCATGTTTTTAACATTACAGCCCCAGAGCTTCTGAAGTGCCTGAAACTTGGTATCCAAGTTTGTGGATGTCTTGAGGTCTTTGTCAGTGCTACTGGAAGTCTTCACCTGTAACACAAAAATTTAATATAATGTGATACAACTTATACACATAACTTATATAACCTCAGTCAAGGAGCTTACTGTCTTTTATACACCCCAAAAATGGTTTTCTGTCATTTTTTGGCAGTAGTGCAGCTTTCATCAGTCACCTGTGACAGCATGAGTGTATGAAACTATAAAGGAGGGATACCTCTTTATCAAACTTCAGGATGCTTTTCTTGCCTGTACAGTACTTGCAGATCACTTGATAATCTACTCCATTTTCTCCATCTCCACACTGCATTTTAATATACAGTACTGCATGTCATTTCTTAATTCAGCCTTTTTTCAACTACAGTATGTAATTTTAATTTTATACTAGTCTTCTATTTTAATACATATGTGTTAACCGAGGGAAGCCCCTCATTCTTTCCAACCATACCAGTTTCCCAGTGCAAGTTAGTGGCCACTGCTTCACTTTAGTATTACTGTACCCAAACATGCTTTTGGGATTTTAAAACATATCTTTCATGTGCTCTTTTAACAGAGACAGGAAAATGTTTTTAACTAAGTATGTGAAATATCTGGATAAGATCTCTACATTTAGTCACTTCTTTGAAAAGAGAATGTACATTGCTTCAAAAATGTGGTCATTTTTATTATGATTACCATTTTTTAAGATCGAAAAGTACAATAAATTACATTATTGCATTAATATTTAACATTGATACTAGGAGGAGAATGTTTTCAGTATTATCCAGATGTTAATGTCTGCACCTGTGTAAATAAATCTTGTTAGCAAACAAAAACCTAGCTTTTCAATATAAAGCGGATATATAATGAGAATGGTTTTTTACATATCAGATGAGATAGCATTTGAATAGTCAGTGAAATGTGATGAAATTTTATTTGTCACCATTGTATCTCAAAGTAGTACACGGCATGCCGAGTCTCCCATGATGTTAATTTTTTAGGACACACAGCTTCACTAAATTTTATATCTGTTAATTGTTCATTGATCGCTTATGCTTTACTCACTGTTTCCCTTAATTTTACTATCCCTACAACCTGGTCTCTGATGAAACTTGTTGGCCAGTAACCCAGTTACCTGCCTATTGGTGCTGGGAGTTACAGCTTCGATACAGGAACTGCCTCTCTAATCTGGGATGTGTTTTAGGAATGTATTAAGTTCTATTTTGAAAACAGTTAGGGATATGTTAGTAATGCCTCCTAAAAAAAATTTGAATAATACTGACAATGAGAAGTCAAAGGCCCTTCATGTTTATGAAGACTACCCCTTAATTTTTTTTCATTCTCATTTCTTTATACTGTACAAATAACTGATAACTGTCTTAAGACATGTTATTGCCTAATCAGTGTGCAAAAGTCTTTGTCAGGTTTCAAATGCTCTATTATAAGTCTCTTGATATTGATAGATGGCTACAATAGCTGCAGAGCATTTTACAAGAGGCTACTATCATTAGGAGAAAACGAACATAAATCTAGACTTCAAAAGAAAGTGGAGCAGTATAATGGGTGTTTAAAATAACTGTAATAGTAAAAAAGGCTGGAGATGCGAGGTGTGAATAACCAGCCCATCTTCCTGTTTTGGTAGTACTTATAGTAACGATGAGGACCATAGTATATACACCGATGCACAACGAAATTATAAAGTAGAAATCTGAACCATTGAGTTGGACAAACCGGAAAATATTTTTTACTTGTGTTGCTTTGGCAAACAAAACTACCCTAACCTCCCTAGGCCTAATATGCAATATCTGAGGCCTAATATGCGATATCTGAGGCCTAATATAGTACATGTATGTGCTATACTAGGCCTAGGAATATTTAAGTCTGTGTTTTAGCTTCATTATTTTAAAAGAATTCCTAACTAGTCAGTATACTACTATCTAAAAGCTAAGTACGTATGAATTAGTGAGTATTGATGATCGTCACAATAGGTACTCTCTGAACAGGAGGATGGGCTGGAATAATAGAGAACCTCAGATAAACTGGAAATAATAACTTGGTAGTTTTGAAAGGAGCATATGCAGATGCCTGAAAAATTTGAAAGAGAAAGCAGAGGATTACTCAAGAGGTCTCATGATGACATAAAGAGTATATATTACATGTTTGAGGATAATGTTCAAATTGGGCTACCTATAGCATCATGTAATAAGATGCTCAACTCTCTTTTTTCTACACAATCATATAAATTTGCTATTGTTCTCCAATTACCTTTCTTATTTGTCCTTACTTGTTCCATTCTATCCATTCTAGTTCCTGTATTTCCACATCTCAACTTGAATACTCTCACCCTTAACACACATTTTTAGTGCAAGTCATTGGCATCAGGGAATGTAATAGCCAAACCAGCTTATTTAATCATCCAGGGTGTCACTTATCACCAATCAATGCCTTAAGTCTATATGGATACAAACTAGGAAATCTTAACCAGTGTCCTCTTGAGTTGACACGTTACAAAAATGACGTACTAAATTACCAGAATATAATCTAACCGATGACCCACGAATAGGAAACATGACAGCCTGTCAATTCTCTGAGCTGTTCTACCCACAATTACCTTATTTCTGTCTTGTTGATTACTCCTTTCTTAGAAGCAATAGTTTAATGCACACTGCTGTTTTTCTACAGCAGGAGACAATCATACAGTCAGGACACTATGTGAATAATTTTCTAATCATTTAATGTTGTACAAAATAAAAATTTCATTAAATTTTGAATGACCAGGAATTATTTACTCATTAACACAAAAATAAATATAAAAAATACTCAAATCTCATGTGATGGAACTGCATAAAGTTGAAAAACTGATCTCAGAGATCTCAGAGTCCAGGAATGTGACGTTGACGTAAATGAAATACAGTACTGTGCTGTATATGAAAGCCTCCATTTTTTGTTCATGCTGAGCTGGCATAATAATGTATTGTTCAACAGCAAATTACTGATTATCCTTGGTAAAGTACAACCAGTGTGTATGCCTCTCTTTAAATGTACTAATTTTAAAATATATGAATAAACAAACTACATAAATTGGTTACTTACACCCACCTCCAAAGGGCGGTAGTCTGCACGTGTCTCCATTGAAAGAAAAGCATATTTCTTGTCTGCATTTTTGTCAGAGGAGGATTCAGTTGCTCGTAGAGGTAGTGGCCTATGTGTCTTGATTGTCATGCCTATAAAAAAATATAAATCATAACTGAATAATTTACAAAACATAAATACTAATCCAAACAGTTAATATGGAAACTTACCTGCCTTGTCTTTATTCTAGAAAGAAGGTTCGAATAGCTGATGAAAGTTGTTACATAATTTAAGAAATCTATGTGCATATGAATTTTTAGTGCCAAAATGGAATGGGCATTAGGAGACAAGGTACAATAAGGCATTCATCAACAAGGGCTACAAAAACAGACTAAAGTTTTACATACACTATTTACAATGTGAGTTTTTTCACATTTTAATTTACCTAAAGCTTAGAAATGTTTCCTTATACACCCTTTCATCACTAGGAGAAAACTTTTGAATCAATGTGTGGAATCAAAGTCACGTACTGGCTCAACCACGGGGCACGAGATCAAATCCACACACTGCTCCAAAAATTTTATCATAGATATATCATGTTACTGTGATGTCATTGTTCTTCATCACAAAATATGCACTAGGTTTAATGCAATATATCATTAATGCTACAACTAAAAGAACATGTTAAGTACATACTGCCTAAATATTTTACTCATAAAGTGCTAAACTATCTTTAACCACTGCACTGCGCAAAGCGCCTTTAGGCGCTCAGAGAGTTGTGCTCTTTGTTTTTTAATTTGGCTATATTTTAATGTTTTTTAATGTTTTCATTACTATTTGTGTTTTGAAATGGAAATAGTTGACTTTGGAAACATTTTGACATTAAATTTACCTGAACATTTGTAAAAATAACAAAAATATGTCCTTGACAATTGCACCAAGACGTTTTTGCCGAAAATAGATGAGCAGTGCAAGGGTTAAACTTACCTGTCTTCATTGACATTAAAACTGGTCCTTTCGTAGTGCCAGAGAACCACTCCTCTGCTGTTAGTGCTGGCGTGGGGGAAGCCGTGTCAGGGTACAAGTCTGGCTGGAACTGATCGCTCTGAAGAATCAAGTTCATGATGTTATTGCAAATTGACCTTCCTGCGTCTATTGATTACTATAATTTCTGGATTTAATATGTCTGGTAAAATCAAGATCAGTTTTTGAAGAATAGCAACTGGAATACAGATTTATATAATACAAATAATAATTACATACATGCAGTGTTGTATCATAAGAAATATGTCGCTTTAATACGCAAAATTATATTTGAAAGATACGGAATACTATTACTTAAAAGATGTTCAGTATCCAATTCCAACAAACTTGATAACCCAAAAATTTATATTACCAGATCCAGTAATGTTTACTACAGTCATACCAAGTTAACACACCTGCATTTTGATGATACATCTGTTACAAACCAGCTGTTCACCATTCTTAAACTGATATACCTTATGGTAATTTGAATATGGTAATTTGCATACTAGCAAATCAGGTTAATTAAAGGCAGTACTAAGTGAAATACAGTATGCAAATTCAGCATCCTGTACAGTATATGTAAATTTATCTAGGAAGGTGAAATGAAGCTGTATGCAGATTAATTGAGGCTATATATATATATATTGTTTAATTTGCATAGGAATTTATAGGTAGTTGTTTTAAATTTGCATGCAAATTTCTAGGTCTGGAATTGTTTATTACTTTGCAAACATTAATTGTGAGACTCAAGAAAGAGTATAGGATAATTAAGAATATGGAATAATATGAGTGTGAAACAGCTTATTTTTGTCTGGACCAAAAAGAGGGACTGGTTAGGAGATTCATGTATTCACCTAGTTGTGCTTGCAGGGTTGAGCTCTGCTCTTTTGTACACAGTCAACTGTCTCTCAACTGTCAATCAATTAACTGTTACTAACTACTAATTCCCCCCCCCCCCCCCAGGGAGTCTGACAGTTGGGTGGACAGCGCTTTGGATTCGTAGTTCTGAGGTTCCAGGTTCGATCCCCAGTAGAGGCGGAGACAAAATGGGTAAAATGTTTCTTTCACCCTGATGCCCCCCATTACCTAGCAGTAAATAGGTACCTCATAGTTAGACAGCTGCTACGGGCTGCTTCCTGGGGGGGGGGGGGTTATGTAACAAAAAGGAGGCCATGGGGACACTAAGCCCCGAAATCATTTGAAGATATAAGCTCAAATTAGCACCATTCCTTCCCTCCCCGTCCCATCTCAAATTCTAATCCTGACCCCTTCCCAGTGCTATATAGTCGTAATGGCTTGGCGCTCTCTCCTGATAGTTCCCTTCCCTTCAAGATAACCCCTTTCCCCCCACTCACACACACACATAGGGATGACCACTGGAGTTATAACTGTCTCCAGCTCCAGCCCACATTCATCAGAATTCCTTTTTTGAGAAGGTGGTGGAGGCCAAAACCGTCAGTAATTTCAAAGCGTTATATGACAAAGAGTGCTGGGAAGACTGGACACCACGAGTGTAGCTCTCATCGGTAATTACACTTAAGTAATTACACCCCTTCCCCCCAGGAAGCAGCCCGTAACAGCTGTCTAACTCCCAGGTACCTATTTACTGTTAGGTAACAGGATCATCAGGGCGAAAGAAACTGCCTATTTTGTTTCTCACCAGTGCCGGGAATCAAACCCCAGTCCACAGGATTACGCGTCCAGCATGCTGTCCACTCAATCACCAGCACCCCTGTGTTAGGTAAGCAGTGTTACCAGTTTGATCTTGATGTTTACAGAGCACTAGTTGTGTGGAATGCTCGACTAAGATAATTACCAAGTTTAGGAAATTGCTGTGATGTAAGATTATTCTTTATTCATACTAGGAAATTGTTGTAATAATATGTAGCGAAACTTTAAAAGATTATGTTCAGGAGAAAACCTGTTTGTAGCTGGCAATTAAGAGATATGGCAACAAATTTCAGGAGAAAACCTGTTTGTAGCTGGCAGTTAAGAGATATGGCAACAAATTAAGTTCTGATTTTGCTAGAAGATTCATTCCAAATTATTGTACCTAAATTAAGACATTGTATAACTTGCCATTATTTGTTGAGCGTTATAGTTTTAGATTGAGGTTATAGCATAACTTATAAATAACAGCTTGGGCAAAATATTGTAGTTAAGTCATTTTATTTGCTAGAAGTTAGCTTGTCTGGCGATGTAATCAAAAGCACGCCCCAAGTTCGCTGTTTTCAAAATCAGTGGGGTGTTGACTTTTAGATCAGGACATACCATGTCACTCACCTAGTTTCTACCTTAAGTATTGCTATTTTGTTCTACTTTAGTACTGAGTTCACTGAAGGTTCATAGTAATTAGTGCAATCAATCCATTAAGACATATCAGAGTGTCATTAGATATTCATTTACTGTATATGTAGTGTTAATATATTTTAAGTACTGTACTGTATAGCCACAGTTTCATGAACAATACCCAGGCTGAAATAATTACTGATGTTGTATGTGGGAATTTAATGATTTTACATGTGTTTTGGTCTTGGCCATCCTGTTGACTTGAATAGTCTGAGTTGTGGTTAACCCAGTGAAGTAATACTTGTTTTCTCTTTGTGCAATAGATTTGTAATTTTTCCAAGTGATTGTAATATCCTGTGTCTCACAATTTTCCTCTGGATGACAGTCTTTAATTAACATGAGCATTCAGCCAACTGCTGAATTGGGGCCAGGCCTGTAATGGGGACATTTTGACCACAGTAATTACTAAGATGTATCAGGATCCAAAATATTTACAAGTTTTCATTCAATTTTTCTTAACATCCTGATATATTGTATAGTGTAACCTCAAAAGTCTGAACCTCATTATAATAGAAATCATTGAAAATCTGGAAAGATTTGACTACTAGGCTAATATTCAGCGCACTCAGGAAAATCACCGAGACCTTAATGGCAGCCAATAATTGTGTTGAAGCTACCTAGCTACAAACAATCTCCTACATCAACTCCCACCAGGTGACAGTACTAGTTACCACAACCTTGGTGAAGTAGGTGGCCACCCTCACTTTGTGATTTTTATCCAAAAGCAAAATATGCTGTCATGCTGAGACCATTTCAGTTGACTGGTGATTTTTTAAACTTTGCCTTTTGCATGGGGTTCCATGCTTTAGTGTTCACTTCATAGTATGGTGCCCAGTTGTGTTATTTCAAACCCTTGAGATACTTCAGCTTCATTTTAGGTTTGTCATTCTAACGTTGAATGTTAGGAATGGTCACCAGAAATATGGCCTTAGAAATTATTTGATAACAACTCTAACTTGGTAACTATATTTATAATGCCTTTGCAACTTTTTTCCAGGTTGAGGCCTTAATGACTGTCATATTTACACTAATCTATTCTACTCTTTGTGCTACCCTTGCCTTTCCTGCAGTATCAAGAATAGAGTTCAATGAGCACATTCTGAGAACATTTACCTAGGAGTGTTAACTAGGGTTTGGTTGGTTTTACTCTCATGCTTCAAGACAGTACAGTGGTGCCTCGATTAACAAATTTAATCCGTTCTGGCACCGAGCTTATCACATGGAAAACTTGTTTGTGAAACAACAACAACACTGTCTTCGGAGGTGTCCGAGAACCAGCAGGAACGCTCAGTAATCTAGCGAAAGCTCGTCAGCCAAGACAAATTTTCTGCGAGTGGCTTGCTCGTAACTGAAGTCGCTCATCACTTGAGGTTCCACTGTACTGTATTTGTATCTATAATAAACTGGAACTAGTGGGAACTCCCATTGAAAGTTTAAATAATAGTCTAGCTGCTCAATTCAATAAAAACTAGTCTTTTTACAAGTAGTTTGGCAAACTCACAAACTGTAAATTAATAATTCTAGAAGAAACAAATAAAAGTATATTGAGATATATACTGTGTTCTCAATATAAAAAAATGTTCCAATGGTATCAAATGTAACAGCAAGTCCAAGAAAATTGATCATAACACATCTCCTGAACAAGTATTTAGTAATCATCATGCATGTTAAAAGAAAAGGTCTTACTAAAGTCCCCCCCCCCTCAAAAAAAAAAAAAAAATATGATACAACCAAGAAATAGTGTTTATCCTATGTTTAGAATTAAATATTTAGACATTACATGCTGTTAGAGTAATAAACCATATACACACCTTCCTGGGTACGATCATGGAGATAGGTTCACAGATGGCTTTGGTAGCATACAGCTTGTAGAAGCGAAATATTTCACACTGTGACACTTTGCACCCTCTTTTAGGCATCACCCCAAAGCCACGCTGTGCATACACATTATCCAAGAAATCTTAGTACACACTCCATATTGTTATTTCACAATCATCAATGTAAATGTTAAAATCGGTGGCAGTGACACTAATTACATACAGAGAGGGAACCTTGTAAGAATTAAATGTGCTGTACAAATTACTGATAGTTTGAATATGTTCTAAACCTGTCAAAATTGTTCAGTACAGTGAAAAACTATAGTATCCAGGATACAAAACCCGGAGCCTCAGAAACATTCAGAATTTACCTGTGCATTTCAAAATGATTTTGCCAAATATTTACTGTCCTGTATTTACATAATATAAATATGTATATCTTTGTATATAAACTGTACAAATGAATACAGTATCTCTATGTGTGCTTGTGATAATATAAAGTTAGGTAATATGTACATTATGTAATATAATAATTCATCCTAATAATATTACTAGAAGTAGTTTAAGAAAAAACTTAACACACAAAACTGGAAATTGATTATGTGTAGCTTTTAAATTAAATTATTTGTTAGATTCCAATAGCAATAATGACAATATTATTGGTTTACAATCCAATTTCTTGATATCAATTAAACCAGTAAATACAATAGAAAGTATACATATTACTATGACCACTTGTGTAGTCACATACATCTCAAACAGTTAAGCAGGCAAAGGAAGGCTAAATGAAAGAAAAATATATTTTGTCTAGTTATGATACCTTACCTGAGGTTCCCCTGATATGTACTGACTGAGAAAGTGGCAGTAAGGAGGACTATCAGTGATTTCATAATAACGGATATTGCCATCACCCTGAGAGGAAAATCATATTCATTACTAAATATCAAATTTGTAAACCCATTCATAATGTTCCATACAGTAATTATCATAAATTATTCCAATATATATATAACAGATGCTGAACATCATGACCCACCTTTCCAGCAACAAAAACAACTCTTGTATCATGATCATAAAACGGTGTCAGGACACCTGAAGATGAATCAATGGTATCCAGTCGAAGAGGTGTGTTCAAGCTTTTTTCGTCCCATACTCCATACTGCCGGTCACTGAAACGGCTGAACCCAGTGGTGAACACTAGCCCAGTGTCTCCACAATAGACTGCTTTGCAAGCCTTAGAACCTTCATGACATACACCTTCCTGCAAATTATAGATTTAGTTTTCAATACTTTCATCAGAACAAGAGACAAGAAACAAGCCAAATCTATGATTGTCTAGCTACCAGTGTCCTTTGTCTAATGAAGAAATATGGCATGAAGTCATACTTTGGAATCAAAGGAACCAAATATAGTTTGAAATACACTGTGTGGAAGGAAGTGCTATAAATCAGCTGCTTGTGATGTTCAGGAATTCTATCATGCAGGAGGTTCTACATTTGGTAGCTGTACAGTAAAGGTGTGTATATCAAGCTCTAGTGGGGCTTGAATAGGTGCACAAGAGTGAAGCAATTTTTTCCTGAAAACCATTTTTGTTTAAGGTAACCTCCACACCTAACCCTTCAACTGTGCATCACAACCAAGGTTGTATAACCAGTGGTGTGCACTGCATCCAGGGTTGTACTTTGATTCTGCGTAACATTTACATCTCCTGCATGTAAATGGAGCTCACATTTGCTTTCTTAGGCCTCCAGTAAACAGATGTTATCTTGGAAAACATCATGAGCCCAGGATGAAACTCCACAACAGTTGACTAACTCCTGGGTACCTATTTACTGTTAGGTGAACAGAGGCATTAGGTGAGAAGGAATGTGGCCAACCATTTCTGTCCTGCCCAGGATTCAAATCTCGGATTCCCAATTGTGAGTCAAGAATGAACCCAAATATATTTCCAAGAACCCCCCCCCCCAAAAAAAAGTAAGATATTTCACTGATAGAAGAAACTGCATGGGGGTGACTCAGTTACTGGCTGGATACAAATCTGAGGGCACAGGCAAAACTTGTAATAAAGCCTTGGTCTCAAAATAGAAATGCAATTAAACATAAACTAAGAAAAGATGTGGCTGTGATAACAATGAGAAATTGTAAACATGGCTCTAATACAGTATAGTATATGAATACAGAAATATGCTTGTAAGGTTAACATTCTTTATTAGGGAAAGAAACTAAATAAGATACCATACTCTTTCTCTCATGTCAAAATGATTTTATCCAGATCAATAAACACACACACACAGATGCGCACTACGTATTAACAATTTGTGGAGCAGAGGTGAAAACACAAGACACCATAGACAAAAATAGCAACAATCAATAAGGCCTCCAGTCCCAGCTCTCCTGATTTGTCATAATAAGTAACTTGGAGCTGCCAGTAATTTTAGCTTGGAAAATGCATTAGATCGAGTCAAGGTCATGACATTGTCTTTTCATTTTTACACCAACTTTAGTTAATAACTAAAGATGAAATATAAATGCATACTGTAGTTTATACAGTAGAAAATAAAAATTATTTATATAAACATGAGAAAGAATGCATAATAAGTTTTAAACAATATATTAGATCACAATTATATCTTCCAAGCCTCAAATAAAATATTATAACTTACAATAATTAAACAAGATATGGTTTGATCACATGAAGGTAATCAAGATAGGTATCCCTGGGTCACAGTATCTTATGATACAAATAGGGTGGTGTAATGAGTACAAGGTTATGTACTGAGTAGAGGATGGTGTTATGAGTACAGGATGGTGTTATGAGTACAGGATGGTGTAATGAGTACAGGGTGGTGTAATGTGTGTAGAATGGTGAAATACGTACAAGGTTTGTACCTGAATTAAGAGGACTAAGCTACTAGGACAGGCTAAGAGAACTCAACACAACCTAGTAACCCTACAAGTTACACAAAGATACACTCTGTAAACTAAGAGAAAAATACTGTACATCAGTGGAAACTGGTAACCAAACTGAGTTGTGTAAACATAAGGAGATACATTACTCAGAATTAGAAAAGACAGTCAACAAGTAAAATGCTTTGAAAGAAGATGCCATGGATGCCACTTTAATTCATGACTTCCAAAGTAAATATGAAACAGAGTATGAACATAAGGTAAATATGAAACAGAGTATGAACATAAGGAGTTTTATTAATGTACCAAGCTCAAAATTCTATGATGCCTAAAGAGTAAACCTCATTCCTCTATTACTGATATAAGAGCAGTAGAGGTAATGCTATGAGGTGTTGAGGATGTAAATGAAGTAAGACAACTTTGCATAAAAGTACATTACTATAATGCTCAAGACCACTAGATCTAGTTGTAATATCATGGAAGTGTGGAGGAGGAAGCTGAAGACACCCCTAGATGTAGTCATGGAAATGTGGAGAAGAATGATGTCACAATATAAGAAACATATATAAATATCAACAATAAGAGAAACATATATAAATATCAACAATAAGAGAAACATATATAAATATCAACAATAAGAGAAACATATATAAGTATCATTCTATTACTGTGGTAGCAACTGCAATGAGAAATGTAGGGAACATTTCTAAAATACCTTTGAGAATGTACATTTTCTAAGCAAGTTTCTTCAACGCCAGTAATAATTTCACTACCACTTACCAAAAATAAATACCAGTAGAGAAGGATACTGAAAAAAAACTGAGCACATCATAATTGAGAGAGAGAAGAGACCAAATCTGCAGTAGAAGAATTCAGAGGAAAATTTCCTCACCTGCAAAAGCTTGCCAGAACGAGGGTCAATAATTCGCAGACGTTTATCCCTGCTAGTTGTAGCTAGTCGTGAGCCATCGCGGTTTAGGGAGAGACTATAAATTACATCTGAGTGAAGGTCAATTGTTTGCATAAGAGCAGCTCGTCTAGTGTCCCAAACAAGTATCTGTAATAAACCATAATAATAATACAATATTTTCACAAAAAGATAATTTGACATCTTGGGGAAAAAAAATAAGTGAATTTCAAATTTGTCAAAAGTACTGTAATATATTTCCATCAATAACCTACCTGGTAATCATAACCTCCAGAAAACAAAACATTCTCAGCTGTTGGATGCCATTCCACTATAGACACACGTCTCTGGTGACCCTGCAGATCAGCCAATGGTTCTGTAACATTAACTTTTAGCCCACCATCAGGAATATGCCATAACTTGATAGTGCAATCATCAGCACCCGAAGCAATAAGGTTATCATTGAAGGGGCACCATTTGAGATCCAAAACTGGTCCGGCATGACCTGTTACTTTTGGGGTGTTCACATCTATGCGGCCAGTCTGTCAGGAAAAGCGTTAAAGCAGTACAGTATTACAAACTCATGGTATCAAAGCTGGCAATTTAAAATCATTATGAAAACATTCATTACCAAAAGTTCAATATGCAACTGTTGGAAATTCTAAGTTTGGATACATATGCAAAGCTAACCTTGTCCAAGGGAAGCACAATGAAAGCCCCGCCACCAGCCACTTCCACTGCAATGGCAACAAACTTGGGGTTGGCAGCACAAGCTGCTGTATCATGGGCCTTCTGGGTGATGAGGACATTCTCATAGCAGCTCTCCTTTCTGGAACCTTTGCCATATACATGTCGAAATTTGGAAGACCGTATGCCTCTGAATGTATTCTGTTAAGGTAGCAGTATAAAGAAAGAGTGTTAAAATGAGCCTTGTCAAAATTTATTTATTTGAATGTCTTAATGTTCCTATTAATTAATAATAATTAATGGAATGTTTTAAAATAAAATAAAATATTAGAATAATGGAAATCTGATTACTCTTCTGTGTGACTAGTCACCTCCACACTATATAAAACTCTTCACTTCACTTTAAATAAAATTTACTGATATTCAATCTGATTCACATGGATTCATCTGAATCAATCTACCTAGAGCAAAGAGGTTATTGAATGTGTGTGTATATACAGTGGTACTTCGAATAATGAATTTAATCCATACTGGCTCCGTGCTCGTCATGTGAAATGCTCGTCTTTCAAAACGAATTTCTACATTTAACATATTGGAAATAAAAATAATCCGTTCCACTACAGAAAAACATCAATATGACATTCAATTTTTTAAATAATGGAGCATCCTACCTGATATACACTAAACAAATCATTATGACGTGTCCATTTTTTCAAATTTGTTCAATTTTTTTTTTCATTTTTTTATTGCAAAAAGTTTGTTCGGTGTTTGTCAAGTGTAGGCTGCTCCATGTTTCTTTAAAAAAAAATCAACAAATCTGAAAAACCAACAAATGCCATAAAGGTTTGTTCAGTGTTTGTCAGGTAGGAAGCTCCATTATGACAATCTTTCTTTGTTTCAAATGTGTTCAATTTGTTTTGTATTTTTTCATTTACGTATTAATAACGGAGCAGCCTACCTGACAAGCACTGAACGAACCTTTATGGCATTTGTCCGTTTTTCAAATTTGTTGATTTTTTTTTTTTTTGAGCAGCCTACCTGACAAACATCGAACGAACCTTTTTGACATTTGTTCTTTTTTCAATTTTTTAATTTTTTTATTGTACAAAAGAGAGTCAATGCTTTACAACATCACAGTAGTTACCCCTTTACATCCAAGCATCATTAGCATCTTTAAACAAAACAAAAAAGTTATTTGCATCGTTGGAGGCGTCTGTGAATGTGCGAGAAGCAGCAGGAACGCATCATGTGATCATGTGGTTTTCTCGTTAATCAAACGAGCGCTCGTCAATCAAGACATTGTCGGCGACCGGCGAGCTCGTTATTCAAAATGCTCGTAAATTAAGACGCTCGTCATTCGAAGTTCCACTGTATATATATACAGTGGGGCCTCGAATTACGATGGTAATCCGTTCCCAGAGATGGATCGTAAGTCGAGATATTGTAAGTCGAAGTGATTTTTCCCAAAAGAAATAAAGGGAATTGAATTAATCTGTTCCCCACCCTCCAAAATATTAACTTACAAATACATTTTATACTGGATACAATATTTTTTCTAACTACTATACAGTAAATATGTTTATCTTACCTTTATGGAGGACTCATGATGTGTATGGAAGATGGTGAGGAGGGGGGAGGAGGAGAGGAGTTACTGTTTTGAAGGCAAGTCCCCTTCCATTATCACATCAGGCAGTGATGACTTCTCTGGGGTACACACTCTCCTACGTTTTGCCTGCATACCAATAGGACCTGGTTGTGATTCACTGCTTGTTTGTCTCACTGGTTGATACCTGGTTGATGGGGTTCTGGGAGTTCTTCTACTCCCCAAGCCCGGCCCGAGGCCAGGCTCGACTTGTGAGTCTGGTCCACCAGGCTGTTGCTTGGAGCGGCCCGCAGGGCCACATACCCACCACAGCATCACTCGTTCCAGGGATTTTCTTTAAAAGGTCTTCATGCAATTTCCTTGCTTTTTCACAAATGATGGCCTCTGAAACTCTATTACCTGCTAACTCCTTGCTGTGTATCCAAATTAATAATAACTGTTCAACATCCTCGAGTGCTTGTATTCTATGTTTCGTGATTATTGATATGCCTTTTGCCAGGCGCCAGAACCAGGAACAGCTCCAAGCGCCCCCACATCATCCAAGAGCCAGTCCGAAGACAGCTCGAGGAGGGAAAAGAAACACAAGGCCAAAGCCAAAAGGCCCCGGGCGCGCAAGTCCTCAGCACCAGTGCCGCCGAACGGGAGGGAACCTGCACATGGAGCTGAATGACACCAACATTCCAGGAAAGGGCAGGAGCAAACAAGCACTCATTGAGGTGCTCTAGGTCGCCCCCCAGGAAAACCTGCAACACCGTTGAAGCCTCCCGCCACTCAAGCATGCGGGAACATCAGGAGGAGTGCCAGGCCTCCAAGGTAAAGACAGGACTATCCGCCAGCCAGGACGACTCCAGAACCTAGTAACGGAGCCAGAAAGGGAACAAAGTCTCAAACCTGAAAGCCGAGGGATCCATTGCCGAGGCATAATCGGGGTCACGCAGGAGGGTTGCCGCAAGGGCCACCCCCATCACAGCAGGTTGGATGCAATAAACCAAAGACCTCCGGAAGGATGGAACCGAAGCACCCGGGGGAACATGGAACTGAACCAGGGAAGGGGCAGACACCAAGTCCAACTTGTATGCAGAGGGGGGGAAAAGAAAACCCCACTCCTTGTAACAGTAAGCCCCGCTCAGAGGGCAGAAAAACCCAGGCGGGGTCCAGTGGGGCCCAAGGCCTCCAAGTCAGCCCCTCCCCAGCTCCAAGGTCCCCCTTCGCAGGACCCGGGGCCGAGTCCTCCCCCCAAGCACCGACCCCACCAGACAAGGCCGGCACAGCCATAGAAGCCGGACAGAAGGGGCGCACTGTCAGACCCAGAGGCTTCGGCCGGGGGAGTAGACTCAAATGCCTGTCGCCACACCGGAAGGGGCATCCCCAGAAGCTGCCCGAGTCTCAAGACCAACGAACCCCTGCCCCGACTCCGAAACCCTTAGATGTTTCGGGGCCGGAAGCAGGGGAGGGGGACCAGAATGAACAACAGGAGGGGAAGGATGAGGAGGTGCGGACTGAACCAGGGTCGATGCAACCCCCACCTCCAAGATCCCTATAAGCAAAATGGGGCAGTCGCGGGGCATCCGGGTGAGCAACCAACCGAGCGCGTTGCAACAAACGAAACCTAGAATGCATCGCTTGTGCAGCCTGTACCTGAAGAAGATCATCCGCAGATTGGGTAAATTGAGTCACCAGCAAGCAGCAAAACTCACAGGACTCAGGGTCGAAAGTGTCACCGACCCAACAGGCAGCGTGACAGAGGCAAAAACCGTGAGGGTTGCCCTGAGACAAGGGGACCGAACAACCCTCAAACTCGCATGAAGCGAGGGGGGACCCGGGGTCACATCCATCAGACCCATGCGTCCCCTAGGGGATTCCCAGGGTCCTGAGCATTTACTATAAGAGGACTCACGCTCAGGTAAACCCAGGCAGAGTACTGCTAACCGGCGCCCAAAACTACCAAACAAACTGTCTACAGCTGAACCCCAGGGATGTGTACGCTCACAGGGACCTAACAGGGGGCACCACCAAGTATCAGGATGAGGCCAAACACCAGTGGCAAGTAGGGCAGAACCCCCTACCAAGGCAAAAACAAAAACAAAACCCCGCAAGAGGACAACGTACCCCAAGAAACAGAACTGGCCGCTGTGATTGGTGACAACAAGCTACCCTGCACCCCTTACCAGTGCAAAACTGCCTCCTACCCTAAGGTAAACTAGGGAGACAAAACACCCAAGTACCCAAAGGGTGGCCAAAAAACCGAGCAGTTAAACGGATCCACAGATGCAGATCCCAAGGAACCTGTGGAAGGTAACCCCAAGCTCCAAGGGCAGTACTTACAGGGAACCTAGGGAAGGGAACCCTAGGTGCATGCAGCCCGAGTACTGAAGAGTAACTCCTGGCTCTCGCACCCCTGGAGAACAGCCGCTACACACAAGGCACAGCGCCGTAAAAGTCTGGAGCCAGAGCACACAACCGCTGCCTATAGCATCAGCCTCAAGAACTGAGGTGTGGATCGCCGGCGCAGTAAGTCTGGGGCTCCCCCATCCCCCTCCCGGGGAGGGGGGAACTGCGCAGACAGCGGCGTGGCAACGGGTGACGTCACACTAGTTTGCTCGTTTTTGTTTCGGGAGTTCTATCCACTTATTCGGCTTTTGGTAGCAATATTTTCACCAGAATAGGGGTTTGTTTTGGGATGCTTACCTTTTTGGGTGCCTGACCCGGTCGATGACATAGAATACTTCCAACCACACAGGGGCTTCTATAGGCCATTGCTCCCCTTGCCTCTCTGAGGGGGGCCAGGTTCTGGCCATGGTCCCCAGTAGGCCCAAAGAACTCCATACACATGACTGATGTCAAAGTCTGACATTAGCATATCAGCCTGGATAGCTCCGGAGAGCCGTAGGGGCTTCCCCCAGAGAAATATGACAAAGTTGGTGTGACGAGTGACAGGTATAATATTACTGTACTGCAGGTGCACACCTGGGTTGTGTGCTGGTAGCTTAGTTTTCAATATATACATGGGTGGGGTCATGATGAAGGTCAAGGTAACAAAATTAGAGTGTAAACCTAGTCCATTAGGTTAATAAGAGTAGGTTAAATATGATGTACTGTATGCAGTTTATTGTTCTTCTAACAGTGATGGAGATTTACATAGACTAGGCTAGTTGAAAACTTTATTGGTGTGAGAGATAAGATCGCTACAAACTAATATGGATTAAAGTTATGGTGGTGGTAGAAAGAAGGAAATTATGTGGGAAATAAATGTGGATAGCAAAACTTTTGAAATGCTTGACCAGTTTACATACCTGTGATATGTGACTGCAAAAAATAAAATAGAAATATGTGCAACTGGGATTGAAGATTGGATGAGTCAGGAAAGCAAAATGGCTGATGTAATGAAAACCCTGGTTAGAACAAGCAAGACAGGAATAGATGCCACCAGAGAGGGGTGCACACAAACGAGCAAGTGTTGACCCTTATGTACTAGTGCCAGATAATGGTGAGGAATAAGAAAAATCAAGACTTGCAGCAATAGAAATGGACAATCTGAGGAGCATGTGCAGTGTTAGAAGAATAGGATGAGTAAGGAATAAAGTTCTTGAGGCTGGAT